TAACAAAAATAGCCAGCCTTGCCTCCCCCACCTTCTCCCTCCCTTGCTCTCAGCCACACACACCTTTGTTCCCCTCCCCTAAAGGCATTTTCTCTTTCAGGTGTTTACCGACCCCAGCAATCTCCAGCGGCACATCCGTTCCCAGCATGTTGGCGCACGAGCTCATGCCTGCCCGGACTGCGGCAAAACCTTTGCCACTTCATCTGGCCTCAAACAACACAAGCACATTCACAGTACTGTCAAACCTTTCATATGTAAGTTGTCACGGGCATCACAGAGCCCCGGCTTTCACTATAATTGCACATATCCTGAGGGGCCCCCCAGCACTGGCTGTCCCTCTGTGAGCAGCCGCTGTAATTTTATAGGTCAGAGCACAAGATGAAATTCCGCAGCAATTTTTCCCCCTTTTTTTCTCTTTTTTTGCATGCTCCCTGTTTTTTCAGTAAACATTCGTGGCAGTTTTTGACTTCCTTGACAAGTTAAAAGCTGAGTCTCTCAGCAGTCCCAGCGATGCCATTTTCTCATATCTTTTCTTTCTCTCTTCTTTTTGTGTTTTTTTTAATTTTTCACTGTGCCTGTTGGTGACATAAATAAATAGCTGACACAGTCTGAGAGAAATGTGTTTCTGAGGTGCCTCAAATCATTCAACCTTTATGAAGAATTTGGGAAAGTGGCAGAGACTCAAAGGAAGGGTTGTTTTGGGTTTTTTTTAACAAAAAGCCAATTTTTCTTCTCTGTTTACAAAGGCTTTAGTCTAGACAATACTCTACAGCCATTTAAATGGCACATTAGCCATATTGTTTGTGCTCTTCGTTTCCAAATGTGACATTTACCTTAGGAAGGCCTAAGAGTCACTATCAGGACTGGGCTTTTAGTCCATCTATATAGTGTCTTTTGCACCTTGGTAGCTGCAGAAAGATATATTTGCACTTCACCATCAACATGCAAAGAGGAGCCTTACAGGCTGCTGCTTGACACCTTACCAAAGGGATGCTCTTGCATTTAAAGCGCAGTGCCAGATACATATTCAGCTTCTGGTGATGGTGTTTCATGAGGCAAGCTGCCGAGCCCACTGCTGCTTCCCTGTCCCTACCAACATGGGAACAGAATACAAGTACAGTATAGGGTGTGAGCCTCAGTTTTGCTGTGCTCTGAGATAATCATTGTCAGTGAGGAAATGCAAAACACTCCCACTGCTCCCTTTGGTGTGATCCTTACCCCTCACACTCTTATGCCTGGCACCTGAGAGAGGGAGAGAATTGGAGTCTCAAATTTTTGTTAGCCCCGAAACAAGGCGCTGTTTCACATCGGCTTTGTGCTCTCTCCCCCATCTAATTATGGAGCTTAAGTCTTCTCCGCAGTCCAAATCAGGGTTGAAAAGAATTGGAGAGTGACTCTGCCCAGTGCACAAGTGTCAGGGTGGAGTCGATATGGACTCTGTTAACAGTGGGATAAAGCATACAAAATGTTTATGGGGCTCCGTGGGACCTGCTGGCTTTGCTTAGGGAAACATAGGGCCACAGTCCGAGGGAATGCTTTCTTTCTCTTTAATGGGAATGGTTGCAGTATTGTACTTGAGATAATGAAGCAAAATGGCTTTAATGTTTTTATAATCATAAAGTGCAGAACAGCGACAGGGGAGAGTCTACATGGAGTTCCCGAGTCACTGCTTTTCAACAAGTCTTGGGTTTTATTTGTTCGTTGGTTTGTTTTTAGGCGGTGGTTTACAATAATGAAATAATCTCCAGTATCTTTAGCAGAACAGTGATGTCTGTATTACATAAATATCAAGATGATCCAGGAACTCTTTAGGGGATAGAGAAGTGTGTGTGTATTTTATATATACTATTTTTTTTCCTTTGGAAAAACTCGCTTTTAATATTACCCTTCAACTTTCCATAAGTTTCCGTTGCATGAGATGATTATATATTGCTTATTCATTTGTGTTATACGTACTCACCAGAAGAAAAGTGGTGCTTATCCCACAAACCCAATGTTCAGCCAACACATGTTGACAAAAATTACATTCTGTTCTGATACAATTTGCTAAAGTAGATTAACTGTTTATAATAACCTCATATGTATCTTCCAAACCACAGTATAACATCTTTTGGCACTTGCTAAAGGAGACATAGTTAAAATTAGAAAGGGGTAATTTTCTGCTGGAAAGAAAAATATACAAACATCTTTTAAATAAATCCAAAAATGTGACATTTCTCCAAAAATTATTAGTAATTTGAGAGGGAGTTATAAATTCACACACATGGAAACGCTTGTGCTCACACAGGCCCATCTACGTGCTCTATTGAATACCCACATACACTCTCACAGCCCTACAGATACTGTCGCTCCCTTGCAGTCTGTTGTGCCCTACGGACATGTGATTGTACAAAGACGAACACTCGTGCTAGAGAACTAGAGTCAAACATCTGACCTAAAGCCCAAAGCCCCGAATTTGAGAGCTAAGTCTAGGTGCTCTGTCCTTACCTTGGCTGAGTTATAACAGCACTTAAAGAAGGGCAAGTACCTCACTGTTTGGAGATTGCCCTTTTGCAACCCCTCTTTTCTGGTCAGTAGGAAATACAGAGGTACAGCAGCAGCTGCTGGGACGTAGGGCTGGTTCCTGTGATTTCTGTGTTTTGCAGACCATGGCAGATCCATCTCCTCAAACTCCCATATCAATAGAGGTTGGAGTTTCCAGCAAACCTTTCTCTCTATTTAAAACAGTTTGAGACTCGTTTCCTTTTTTGCCGTTGTAAAGTAACAGGAAAAAAACCAAACCAACAAGGACATAGATGAAAATAAAGCAAAGCAGAAAACACCCAGGAAGCCTGAAAGCATGTGTATATAGCTCAAAAGAACAAGCAAAGCTTCAGATATGAATTACGGATGGATGGAGCAAATTTGGACAAAATAGTTATCAGCTGACCTTGAACTCTCTTTTGATCTTTAAGACAGTTTGGCGACCATGTTTTCCATCAGGTCTGTGCTGCAGATGCAGGTCTCAGCCGTGCCCAGGGCCAGAAGCAGAAATGCTGTAACAGCGTGAGGAAAGACAAACAGTTCTTGGGACATTCTCAGAAAGGTCCAAATCCAGAAACAGCAATACATGAGAGAGAGTCTCTCTTTGTGTGAGCATAAGATTCTTCTGAATTTTCAGGTGTTCACCTGTACTTGAAATGCCCGCGTTGCTAAATATTACTGAGCATTACTGGAAATTTCAACTCAACAGGCTGCTGCTTGCGATTTCCAGGACTGCTAGGCAGGAGTACTTTATGAACTGCCCCCTTTGGCATCTTTTGATACTCACACCGATGTAAACCCGAGAGATAACACATGGCAGCAAATGTTTAACATTTGGGTACCAATGTCCCCCAGAAAGAAAAAAAAAAGTGTTGCCTGTTGTTTTGCCACAGGACCAAGTGTCAGGGCCAGGCATGGTTCCTTGCTTAGCCACAAACATGCTGTAAAATTTCAGTCAGTTCTTCTAACCTTGATGTGCCTCAGTTTCCCTGTTTATAACCCCCTTGAGAGGAAGTATGAAAAATTACCCCTGGGCTTCAGAGAGATGTTTGATGATAAAAAGAAAAAGGAGGGGTGGGGGGGGGGTTAAACTTTTTTGACATCTGACAAGGTTTGGATTTGGTTTGATTCTAATTTCCTCAGAACCGCCTTGCCTGGCCCTTCCCTACCTGCTGAGTCCTGTGGGAAAGGTTATAGCAAGTGACATGCTGAAATCCTGGCATTAGAAGTCATTAAGGGAAAGGCTGACTGAGCATTAACTCTAGCAGAGCTAGGGAGTCCTTATTAATTTAACAAACATGAGATCTCACCTCATTCCTAGCTGAAGTTGAGCCCTGGGTTTGAAGAATATTTTTAGAACATCCCTATGGAGCGGTTACTTACTATTAATGGCATTAAAAAAAATGGTGGATTTGATTAAATGAGGCAAAGTTCTTCTCCCTTCAGCCTTGAATACTTCCTCCCATGCCAGACTACAAGGAAAGCATACTAGCTAATATAAATAGATAGTATGATTAAAGTGCATGATGATCTTTATTTAAAATTTAAAAAAAATAGAAAAATCTCTGAGCTGGAAGAGCACGTTACATCAGATTTCTGGAAATTTGCAGGGGGACAGCTGCATGTGGAGAGATTTGCTGCCATCAAGGCTTTTTCACTGATTTGCTCTTTATTATTTTGCCATAAGGTAGTCCCTGCACATCCCAGTGAAGAGCAGGGCTCCATGGTGGGTGTTGGGTGCTGTACAGACATAGTCAGAGCTAGAACTTGCCCCTAAGAGCTCACAAAACAACTATCCCGTTTTGAAAGTAAGGAAGCAAAGGGCAGAGATAGGAGGCGATTTGCCTAAAGGGATTTAGGGAGTCTGTGGCAGAACCAGGGAACTGAAGCCAAGTCACTAGAGCTCCCCATCCAGTGCCAGAACCACAAACCCACGTCTGTTTTAACTGTGTGGGGAAAAGAGGAACTTGGAGGTCAGAGGGAGGGCAGGATGGAGAAAACTGCCAAGGAAGCATGTGGAGAGCTGGGTAGGCGAAGCTATTGCATAGTAATTTCATATTGTTTTTGTTTTTGGTTTCTGTTGATGCTTTAGGTGAGGTCTGTCACAAATCCTACACACAGTTCTCCAACCTGTGCCGCCACAAACGGATGCATGCAGACTGTCGCACTCAGATCAAATGCAAGGACTGTGGGCAGATGTTCAGCACTACCTCCTCTCTCAACAAGCACCGGCGCTTCTGCGAGGGCAAGAACCATTACAACCCTGGGGGGATTTTTGCCCCTGGCCTCCCTTTAACTCCAACCTCCATGATGGACAAATCCAAGCCCTCACCCAACCTCAACCATGCCAGCCTGGGATTTAATGATTACTTTCCATCCCGACCGCACCCAGCGGGTCTTCCATTTTCACCTGCTCCCCCAGCATTTCCCACCCTCACTCCAGGATTCCCAGGGATTTTTCCACCCTCTCTGTACCCGCGGCCTCCCTTATTGCCTCCCACCTCGCTGCTCAAGAGTCCACTGAACCACACTCAAGACGCAAAACTTCCAAGCCCCTTGGGGAACCCAGCCCTGCCTCTGATTTCTGCAGTGAGCAACAGCAGCCAGCCTGTCTCAGGAGAGGAGAAATGTGAAAGCAACCTAGAAAATTCCTACCTTGACAAGCTGAAAGCCAGGAACAGTGACATGTCAGATGGCAGCGACTTTGAGGATGTCAACACCACCACAGGCACAGATCTGGAGACCACGACCGGTACTGGGTCTGACCTGGACAGCGACGCAGAGAGCGACAGGGAAAAAGTGAAGGACAAAAGCAAACAGACTGAGAGCAAGCCAGACTTTGTCGGCAGTTCTGTGTCCACGAGTTCTGTCAGCAATGCGAGTGAGATCCCCCTTTTCTATTCTCAGCACTCTTTCTTCCCTCCCCCCGAAGAGCAGCTGCTGCCTACGACAGGGGCAGCCAATGACTCTATAAAAGCCATTGCCTCCATTGCAGAGAAATACTTCGGGCCTGGCTTCATGGGAATGCAGGAGAAGAAGATGGGTTCCCTCCCATACCATTCCATGTTCCCATTTCAGTTCCTCCCCAATTTTCCCCATTCACTCTATCCTTTCACGGAGCGGACCCTCAATCACAACTTGCTGGTCAAGGCTGAACCAAAGTCACCCAGGGACCTTCACAAAATGGGCAGCAGCAGCTCAGAATCGCCCTTCGATCTCACCACAAAACCAAAAGAGATTAAGCCAATCTTGCCGCCACCCAAGGTCCTGCCAGCCCCATCTTCTGGGGAGGAACAGCCACTGGATCTAAGCATCAGCAACCGCATCCGTGCCAGCCAGAATGGAGGGAGGGAGCCCCGGAAAAACCACATATATGGGGAAAGGAAGCTAATGGGTAGTGAAGTGCTACCCAAGATTTCTCAGTCTCAGCTCCCTCAGCAGCCGTCCCTGCATTATGCTAAGCCATCGCCCTTTTTCATGGACCCCATATACAGGTATTAACATACCCTGCCTTAATTATTTCCTCCCACATGCTAACCTTAAGGAAGGCATTAGCCAGTATGTGTTGAAGACAAATTTGGAAATGGTCTTAGGGAGCAAGACCAGAATAGAAACACAGTATCCTTGATTGTGCTTGGCCTCCTTGGTGAAAGCACTTCAACGCCCTTGAGTGAAAAGGATTTTATTGGCATAATAGAAAAGCAATAGCTCCATCCCTTGGGCTTGCATCCACCTGTCCATGCCCTCACTTTACTGTTTTCATTTTTTCTCTTTTCTTTTTTTCTTTTCATTTATTCTGCTTATAGAAATAGGGGCAGCCAGGAGGGAAGAGATGCAGAAGAGGGCAAAATGGGTGGTTGTCCCAGGCTGGCATTTGCTCACTGACAGCCAAAGCCCCCCAAAGGGTACAATCCATGACAGAGTGTCCCTCACAGTAGGATGTTTCCTGATGGGGCAGCCTTGCCACAGTAAACCCACCTTTAGGGGAGGGTCTGCTTCATAGATTTTGCCTCATCGCTATAAAACTTACCTGATCTATACTCATCCTTTCACAGTGCTTGGAAAACCAGGGGTCTCTAGTACTAAATAACTGTTTTAAGCACTGCATTAGTCTTATTCTCTCACCTGTGAATCTTGAAAAGGTGCCCTCCTTGCAAGGTTCCAAGTGTTTCTGAGTTTCAGCCCAAGTGGAAATATCGGGAGGAAAGCCTTGTTTATGGTATTTCATTGGCAGCCTTGCAGCAAGATAAAAACATAAAAAATTAGCTAGACTATGACCTGAGACTCCTGAAGTACGGATTCCTATTCATGATGAAACCTGGGATCTTTATTAATGGAGGAACTTTAAACATCTTTTTCTAAAAGTAAGGGCACTGACAGAAGTGACATTTCTCATATGATCGGCTCCCTGAAAGTGCTCTACAGCCATGCCCTGACAGAAGTGCACGGCTGCAGAATACTTAAAGAGTGCCTAATCATGTGATGAATTAACCCTCATTACATGCACCGAGGTGGGGAGGCTCCAATCTACCCATCTCCTCTCCAGCACAAGCTGGGCAAACCACACAAAGAGCTCCAACCCCTCCCTTCTCTTCCTCCCATCATGCAGACAGCACCAGAGCTGGGGATGGATCGAGGAGCGGAGCTAAGGGGAAAAAAGCTGCAGACATACGGCGTCTCCTGGATTGGCTCCGAAGTGGAGCTCGATTCCCCCTCCCTCCTGAACCAACAGGGAACGTCTGTTGGGTTGCGGGGAGGCGGGGGCGGTCGTCACTGTAACTCATAGTATTTTTTGTGAAGCGCCATGAGTTACACATCAGCTCCCTAAAAGCAGCTGACAAAATATAGGCCTCAGTCAGGTTCCATATTCCCCCGCCTGCTCCCTGTTATTTTCCTGCTGTTAAAGTAGAAGATACCATAGTAACCACAGTTGTTGTTGACTGACAAAACTGTTCCTTTTTAAAGGCATCCACTGTAAGTCAGGGTCCAGGCATCAATTGGACATGTACACAATCAGAATGAGACTTGGGGTCCCCCCATTTCCTGCTG